GTCTTGTATGGGGACCTCAGATGGGACAAGCAAGCCGCTCATGGAGTGTGCACCATGACCTTTAGCAGACCACCCACGCTGCTCCCCAGACAGCTGACCAGAAAGTCCTTAGGAACCATCACTGAAATGGTATTGCTCCATTTTCAGTTGTGGTTTCTTTTGTGCTCATTCACGACATGTCAGAGCGAGTTCGAAATATTAGATTCTTTTTTGGGTGGGAACAGTTTGCAGGGAAAGACCTGCTTCCTTGGGGGGCCCAGGAAGAGTGAGCTTCTCTCTGCCTTGGCGTCTCTCTGGGCCAGCAACACCAGAGTCCCATACAAATGACATGACCCCCCAGTGAGATAGAGAATCCAGAAGGTAAGAGTTGGGGAAATACAGAGGCAGAGAGAAATGGAAACTCTTCACACTTTTTTTATACCTCTCTTTTAAGAGTTTATTTTTATTAGAAAGTCAGATATATAGAGAGGAGGAGAGATAGAGAGGAAGATCTTCCATCCATTGATTCACTCCTCAAGCGGCCACTGGAGCTGCACCAGTACAAAGCCAGGAAGGAGCCCAGAGCCTCTTCTAGTTCTCACACACAGGTGCAGGGTCCCAAGGCTTTGGGACGTCCTCAACTGTTTTCCCAGGCCACAAGCAGGGAGCTGGATGGGAAGCGGGGCCACCGGGATTAGAACTGGCACCCATATGGTATCCTGGTACATGCAAGGCAAGGACTTTAGCCGCTAGGCTACCGCACTCAGTCTGGGAAGATCAACTTTCATAGAATGTTGCTGAGTTTAACTGATGCTGGAAGGTAAGAAAAAACAAGTCCTGAGCCCTGGAGAGATGAGGCTTCCAGGCCTAAGAGCGAGGAGCTGCCCTGGAATCCTGGCCACTGTGTGACTTCAGGGTCTCAGGTGTCAAGAGCCCTGACAGCCTCTGACTGTCTCGCCACACCCATCCACCCTGCCTGCCAAGGCTGCCAGCCAAAATATGAAAGTCACTCTTGTCTGCTTTTTTTTTTAAATTATTGTTTTTATTAAGAGTAAACCTGGGCTTTGTTCTTAATATCATTTGAATTTGAATGGGATCTTCCAATGGCCCTAAGGGGGCATCATACCCACTTCACAGATGGGGAAATAGGGTAATCAGCAGAGCAGGAACTGGAATCCAAGTCAAAGCGAACGCACCATTTGCATGTCTTCCTCACATCATTTTGCTTTCTCTGTTTCCCCAAGAATACCCAGATTGCAGCTTGATTTGCAAGCTGTTGTAGTTTCACCTGCCCTTTCAGTCCTTCCCCCTTTTCAGCTATACACCCCAACACCCTGTAGCAGGGACTGACAATGTTTTTGTGTGCAGTCCCCCAAAGGGGCACTTGGGGTCATTCTGAGTGATGTCATGTTGCTGTGGAAATACCACCCCCAAATCAACTTCTATAGGCTGTGGCAGAGCCTCCTCCAGGGTAACCGAGGCCCGAGGATGTGTGATGCAGAGGGTGAGAGCCACTGCAAGCTTGCTTCCTAAGATTCCAGAGGACCTGGAAATAGGGACTCCACCCCCACAAGCATGTGCTTTCCCAGGAGGCCTGCTGTGGCTCTGGGATAGGAGGCAAGGAGGACAGACCCTGACAGTGCAGGATGGAGTAGGTAGAGTGCCTCAAAGAAATGCAGCTTTTAGGCCTTGCACAAAGAGGAAGAGGGAGCATGCCTTAAGACACCAAATGTAGAAAGTAGAGTGCGCTAAGGAGTTCAGATGCAATTGATGTGTGAGCGTCAGAGGCTAGTGAGGTGGTGGGGTTTGTGCTCTACAGTGTTGGTACTTCTAGGATGCACTGATAAAGGCTGGATAGAATTGATCTCTCTGAACAAATGCAGGCTGTAGGATAACTGCTATGTGCAGTCTGCAGGTGGCAAAGAGATTTAGAGACAGAACACAGAAACCACTTAGACTAGCTCAGGAGCATAGACTTGTCCAGTGGTGTGACCCTGGCTGAGCGATTAGAGATGTAGGGAATCATTGTACCCTGAAGCCAGGAGGTCCCTGTCTACCCAAGCCAAAGCTCCCGGTGGCACTGGCTAGAGGGGCAGCATCTGCTTACTTACCCTGGACAAACAAACAAACAAACAAACCCAGCAGCCTCGCACAAGTTGAGTAGTTTCCTTCCTTGGCTTAGCTTCACATCTCTGAAACAGGCCCATGAATCAAATGACTAGAGTAGCCCCTTCAAGGCCTCCATTTCCCTATCTGTGACCTCCACATACCCTGGGCTGGTTGCCCTGGGTTACCCAGGTTGGCACTTATATCTACGTTTGTTAAAGTCAGCCTTTTCATGGGATCCATGGGCTCTGCCCTCACTGTGGGATCCCACCATTGGTCCTTGGTATCTGACTATCTACAACAGTGACACAAGCAAATGCTTCCCCATATTTCTGAAGGGCAAAGTTGACCATCCTATGGAGATGTAGGGAGAGTGAAGATTCCAGAAAATTCTTTGTATGCAACATCCCTGGAAGGGCTTCCTCATTTGGCGAGATGTTGGGTTGGACTACGTGGTATGTCTGGGAAGGGAAAAAAAAATGGTAATTTATTTGTTGTTCTTGTAATTAATTGGTGGAGGGTGACTGCTAAAGCTTTACCTTGCACTTTAATCTGTGTGCACACAAGACTTAGGTCAGCCTCTCCTCTAAGCTCAGCACCCAGTAGAGGACTATGGTGTTATAGCTGGTGGCCTTGGTTCTCTCGCAGGAATGTATACCAACCACAGTGTGGTGTGCAGGCTATAAGCATATAAGGGACAGGGGTACAGGTGGAAGAAGCCACAGGAGGGTTATGAGAGAGAGGACACACTATCCCCAGATTGCCATTGGTCTTGTTGTGCAATAAGAACAAGAAATGTTTTACAGGGCTGAGAGCAGCTAGACGGAAACAGACTTCAACTCAAAGCAAAGTTTCCTAAGGCAAACCAACCACAGACGAAATAAACAGCCTAAGAAGTTAGTAAATTTCCCCTCCCTCAGAGATAAAGAGAATTTATATTTGATGAGGGCCTTGGCAATAAATTGTATGGTTGCCATAACTCACATCCTTTACTTCTCATAATAACGGATCAGATGAGTGGGGTTCACAGAAATTAAGCAAACTGCCTAGGGTCACACAGCAACTGGGGGAAGGTTACTGAACACCACAAAACCCATGTTTTTTCCACATCAACATGTCCAGGGCCCAGTGGGCAGAGCTATTGGCAGAGGACCCTTGTGGTTACCCTTGAACTCTTCTCCAGTCTTGAGAAGCTCAAATTCTAAGTCAAGCAAGAAGAGGATGAATCAGATAAAAGAGGAAGACTTTATTCCTGCACCTGGATTAGCAGAGTCACATGGGGCAATGTGTTTAGCTCATTTAATCTGTACAAAATCTCTCCTTTAACTCTGCCATGGTTAAAAGCAGTTTTGTGTTTGATTTATTTTAAAAGTCTACTTAATTTTAGAGAGTGTGAACGAACTCTCAACTGGTGGCTCCTTCCTGCAATTGCGGGGGCTGGGCCAGGCTGAAACCAAGAGCCTCGGTCTTGGCTAGCTCTTAGGTGACAAGGACCCTATTATTGAGCCATTACCGGCTGCCTCCAAAGAGGCACACTGACAGGAAGCTGCTGCCTTTGACACTGCTGTCCTCAATGAGCTATTGCACTTGCAGTCCAGGTCCCTGCTAATGCACCTGGGCAAGCAGCAGCAGCAGATGCCCCTGTGCTTTGGTCCCTGCATCCATATGGGAGATCCAAACAGCCCTCTAGGCTCCTAACTTCATCCTGGCCCAAGCTCGACAGTCGTGGCAATTTGGGGGACTGAACCAGTGGATGCAAGATTTCGTTCTTTCTCTCTCTTTCAAGTAAATAAAATAAATGGGGTGCTAGTTATCCCCAAAAGGAATGCTCCTTTGGCCAAAAAGAGTATTTTTAAAATAAATACAAGTCTGTTGGATTGGTGATTTGAGGTAGTTCTGCCCTGAAAGGTTGCCACGGTGACAGAATTAGTGAATCCTGAACTTTTTTTCCCTGGGAGAGAGACACACCACTGCTCTCCTCCACCTCCCCATTTCCCCATGAGCTTCTCATTACAAACTCTAGAGAGCTGGCGAGTGTGCGACTTGGTTTCCCATGTGTTTCGGCTGGTAGTCCCACAGCTCAGTACAGTTGATTACTTCAGGACCAGTGAACCTGCTCTCTACAGCACTGCAACTCCAGCCTGAAGGAGGCTGACCCAACCTGCCATTCCTCCACCAGGTGTAGCACAGCCTACTGGGACTTAAGCCAGAAGGCGCTGCAGCATCTTGTGCCAGTCCATTACACACACCAGAAGCAACTACAGAAGTCCAGAAATGTGCTAAATATGACACTGCATCTGCAATGGGGCGTGGGGGTAGGGGGAAGGGGAGAAGGACATTGCTGACAGTGAGAACCGATCACAAAAGGCTGAGCCCGGCCTTCCTTGCTGGGACTGAGTGTGTCATGTGATTCAAGTTCTTGGCACTCTACAAGAGTGCCACTGGTATTGATATTGAAGTTACTTGTCAAGTGCAGAGAGCAGGACAGTTCTCAAACGCAAACTCACAAATGAAGCTCCATTGTGTGAGTAAAGCTGTTGCCTGAGATGCCTTGAGAACTGACTGCTCCACTTCCAATCCAGCTCTATGCAAACAGATTGGAAAAGTAGTGAAAGGTGGTCCAAATGCTCAGGCCCCTTCTATAAAAAAATGGGTCACCTGGAAGAAGTTCCTGGCTTCAGTCATCACACTACCCCAGTCATTGCAACCATACAGGGAGTGAGCCAGCAGATGGAAGACTCTCTTTCTCTCTTTCTCTATCCCTCTCTAACTCTGCTTTTCAAATAAATATAAAGGAAATCTTAACAAACAAAACCAAGCACTCAAAATTATGTTGGTGCCAACACTGGGTTCCTGCTTGTGAAGGGTTTCATATTTAATAAATAAATAATCCAGTTCTGTTTCCCTCTTCTTAGGTATTAGCCAAGTGACCAAGTCAGTGAAAGAGATGGCAGCACTATCCTGTGATTATAACATTTCTGTTAGTGAACTGGTGAATATGAGGATTTACTGGCAAAAGGACCAACAGATGGTACTGAGCATCATCTCTGAGCAAGTAACAGTGTGGCCTGAGTACAAGAACCGGACCTTCCCCGACATCATCAACAACCTGTCCCTCATGATCCTAGCACTACGCCTGTCGGACAAGGGCACCTACACCTGTGTTGTTCAGAAGAGTGAGAATGGGGTTTTTGAAGTGGTACACCTGACTTCAGTGACGCTACTGATCAGAGGTAGGTGACAATTTGTGATTTAACCTAGACTGACAGATTTTTTTTTCAGGCTTGACTAGAAAACAAAATTTTTTCATGTTAATTTTTAGCTTTTAACAGCTTTAATATAATTCATAGCTATAATTCTAAGACTATTATGATATTCCCTCCCACCCTTTCTTTCTTTTTTAGTTTTTGAGATAACATTTTAAATTTACATTATAGTAGAAAGGCTCAAAACTTCACCAAATAAGAAATTTAACAAGCAAAAAGTAAAATAATCCTAGTTTAGAGGGAATAGAGACCATCGCTATAGACAACAATTGAATGAGAAGACGACCATGTCATCCACAGACAGTCAATGTTAAAGCAATCACAGTCCATTCTTAACCACTGGCTTAACAAAGGTATAAAAGAAAGTTTCACAAAACTTAATTTGTAGCAATAATGATACACACAGGCATTTTTTTCTTTTCTTTTTTAAATGTTAATTCACCCATATAAAGAATACAAAGCAACTGCCTTTCTGCTTCCAGCTTGTTTCATTCAACATGATGTCCTCCAGTTGCATCCATTTTGCTGCAGATGGTAGGTTTTCATTTTTTTTATAGCTGAAGAGTATTTCATTACATACATATGCCACATTTCCTGCATCCGTTCATCTGATGGTGGACACTTTGGGTGATTCCAGATCGTGGTGATCATGAACAGTGCTGCAGTAAACAACGTGGCATAGGTATCTTTTTTATTACAACATGCTCATGTCTTCCTTGTGTCTACCCAGTAGTGCGATTGCTGGCTCCTAGGGAAATGCTACTTCTAGTTTTCTATACGTTGGTGCACCAATTTACATTCCTAGCAACAATGTATAAGTGCTCCCCTTTCCATTTCCTTGCCAGCATCTATTACTCTTTGTGTTTCAGATTTTACAAGACTGACAAATGTGTATTGATTTAGGTGGAAATATTACCAAAGTGGGATGTATGTCATTTCATTTCTTAGGGTCAATTCTCTAATTTTACAAAATACTCTGATTTCTGAAGGTGTCCTAGATATACTTATTCAAATGCTTTGAAAACACAAGCTTTTGACAATCCTCCTGGGACATTGCAAGATCCCCAAGTGTCTTCTGATTCACAAGAGGACTTTTTGTTTCATGTGTCTGCATTGTGAACTACACTTCACAATATGCATATATACCCATGAAAGTATGTTGCAATGGTAAAAGAGTAATGCAGGCATAAATATTTTTCAGTAGTATTTAAATGTCTATTATTATGGTCATTTCACTATTCTTTTTCACAATATCATTTCCTTTTTGCATACTTGCAACTTTCCTCTAAAAGTTGCACTCCTGCAAAGTTAGGTGTCAGAAAATGGGATGCATAATTTATGACTGCCATTGGAAAGAAGACAAGGTGCTAAGTCAAAGCCCTGTTTATACATCTTCTGTGAGGGCAAGCACTCACTCTGGGCAGGGAGGAGCCTCTCCTGGGTCACACGGAGCAGTGGGACGCCCACCGACAGAGCCTAAACCTTGGCTGAGAAAGCACAGCTCTGGGCCAGTCCCTAGCACTTGAAATGCAAACATTTCTTCTTCCTGAGCACTTGAGACTTCAGTGAAAAACAAACCTCCTACTTAATCAAATGTCATGGTCAGCCTTGATAATAGATAATAACCTCAGCAAAGCCTTAGGGAATCCTTCACTGTTCCTTGAGCCTTAGCTATGAATCTTTCCCTGGAACCTGCAGCTCACAGCTTATGGAGATAGGCTAAAGTTACAAGAAACTTCCTGAAAATCTCACTCTATATTCCCAACTCATGGGTAGGGCTGATGATTGTATGGCTGTGATTTGAGAGGTACTAGGAGGCCCACCCCTTGTAAAATGTTTACCTATACTGATTTCTAAAATCCTTCTCATGGCCATTCCTGTTAGTGTCAGCATCTTCCTGTCATAAGAGGCTTTTTAAAAATGAAGATGTATTGTGTGGGAGGAGCGGGAGGCACCGCAGCATATGTTAGCCCATATTAACTACTTACAGAAAGTGCACAGTCCCCAAACACAATACCTAGACAGAGAAGTGGAAGGTCTTCATACAAAGAGAAGAAAACTCAAAACACAAAAGATGGAACATTCCAAGGTGACCTTAGCAGAACACACAGGAAATCAAAGAGAGCTAAGGGAACACAGAAGCTGTGCAGGGTCCGCAGGGGGAATCAGAGATTAAAAGGAAGAACTCATCTGCCTAATTTTACCCAGAATTGGGCTGAATTTTCCAGGTAAGTCAGTTAAGCCCCATCTCCCACAATAAGGTGCAAGGATTCCCCTGGGTTCGGCCGGTTCAGCTGCAGTAGGTGTGGAGTTGGGTCTGAGAGTCTGAGCTGCTAACAATCCCCAGGCCCACAGTTTCAGAAGCCAGGAGTCAAGGTAGAATTGGTCAGAATGACTGTCTTACTCCAGTTTTCATTGCTAATAACATGACATCACAGACTGGCTAAGTTATAAGGAAAACAGATTTATTTTGACTCATGGTTCTAGCCCATACTCAAAGGTCCACATCTGGTAATGGTCTTCTTATTGGCAGAGCCCAGGGTGCCACAAGGCATCACACGGCAAGAGGGCAACTGAGCCATACTGACTTCCATGGCCAATCTCCTCTTGACAGAACTCATTGACCCGTGAGTTGCATGAGTGGATATTTATTCAGGGTTTGGGGCCCAGCATAAGCAGATGCGGATTTTGACAGGTTGGAGGACAATGTGGAGTTGTTTGTGGGTTTCTATCTCCTTTACTCACTGTAGCAGTGAGAAATGTACCAGGAACAGTCACTTGCCCCAATGGCAGTGAAACCACAGGAAATGTCTACTTTGTGTCTGTAGTGGCAGTTGGACACACACACACACACACAGAGGCATGTACACACATCATATTCACAAGCAGCCGCATCTAGCCATGCCCTGCATTGCTTCTATAGGCTTACATACAAAAGTGATGCCAAACCAAATCATCAAATAACAGATTTGTGGGCAGCTAGCCAGGCAAGTGGACCTGTCAGTTACCGTAACACTGGTTACCACAGAGGCACAGCAAATATGGAAGCCCAGGGGTGAGAGGGTGTGGGCAGATGGCATAAGAACTTGATGTCACTTTCCTCTCCTTAACAAGGCTTAATTCATTTATGAGGCGGAGCCCTTTACCCCTAAATTTTCCATCTCTAAAAACTGTAAAGCAGGGTTAAACTTCAGTAGGAGTGCCGGGGGGAATGAAACATCCTTGAATCACAGCAATAACCCACTCTCTCTTGTTGGGACTGAGGGGTTTCTTTGAGACACAAAGTTTCTGGTGCTAAAATAAGGAATTCTCAGGAAAACCAGTAAAAGTTGATGACACTACTTTTGTTAACATTGTAGAGCTGGCATTTAGGTGTCATGGTTAAGATGCCCACATCCCACACAGCCAGCATTTAAGCCCCTGATTCTGCTCCCGGTCCCAGTTGCCTGCTAATGTGTATCATGGAAGGCAGCAGGCTCTGGTTTGAATCAATGCATCCCCCCCCACACACACATGAGGTAGCAGGATCCTGGCCTCAGCCTGGTGTTGGGGGCATTTGGGGAATGAGCCAGAAGAGTGTTGTTTCTCTCTGCCTTTCAAAAGAAATAAATGAACTTTTAAATTGAAGTTATAAAATTATAATAAAATATCAGCATAGAAACATGCAAGCAGTCTTCAAAAAGTTTATGGAAAATAAGTGCTATGAATAAACTACGTGTGAACTTTAAATTGTCTTTGCACCAAAATCAACTTTCCATTCCATTTTATATAAACTTTTTGCAGTATCCTCATATGAAAACCTCTGTTAACAGACTATTTGAAAACTTGCTATACTAGTTAACAGGTTAGATTAAAGGTGCTTTTACTTTTTTAAAAAAAACTTTTCTCTCTTCCTTTTCTCATCAGATGCTCAACCCCTCCCCACTAAGTTTGGTGAAAACTAGAGCTAACTGACTCAAAGTGAGATGCAGAAGTCATTCTTTGATGGCTTATGGTGTTGCAAGGCCATAGAAGCAGCAACCCTGAGCAAGTCACACACAAAAGGGATAGGAGACAAAACTGAGGCTTGTCTAAGACCATGCAGATCTGGAAAGCATAATTTGTAATGCAGCCCTGATATTAATGCATTCCCATAGTTTATTACACAGTACAGAGCTGAAATGAGTAATAATTTCCTTTTCTTTCTAAAGGTTTTTTTTTTTTTAAAAAAATCAGAAAAGCAGATTTACAAAGAGAAGGAGAGAAAGAAAGATCGGCCGTTTGCTGGTTCACTCCCCACGTGGCCTCATGAGCTAGAGCTGAGCTGACCTGATCCAAAGCCAGGAGCTTCTTCTGGGTCTCCCACATGGTTGCAGGGTCCCAAGGCTTTGGGCCATCCTCGACTGCTTTCCCAGGCCACAAGCAGGGGGCTGGATGGGAAGCAGAACATTCAGGACATGAACAGGTGCCCATTTGGAATGCCAGCTCTTGAGGGCAGAGGATTGGTCTGTTGGGCCATGGTGTCAGTCCCAAAAGGGAGTGTTTTCAATGTTAAGTTCAAGGGTAATAATTTAATTTTAAGGATAAATTAATGAGTAAGAAATAATAATGGTGGCCCTGCATGGTAGCCTAATTGCTAAAGTCCTCACCTTGCATGCCTGAGATCCCATATAGGAGGATCTTCCATCCGTTGATTCACTACCCACGCAGCCACAATGGCTGAAAATGAGCCAATCTGAAGCCAGGAATCAGAATCTTCTTCCAGGTCTCCCACGTAGATGCAAAGTCCCAAGGCTTCGGGCTGTCCTCACCTTGACTACTTTCCCAGGTCATAAGCAGAGAGCTGGATGGAAACTGGGGTCGCCAGGACATGAACCAGTGGCCACAATTTTGGCATCTGTTTTCGCTCCCTTTGAAAGGTGCAAAGGAGAGATGGGGAGAAAGAGAGAAGAGGGTAAGAAAGAGAGAGATTTTCCATTCTCTGGTTCACTTCCCAAGTCCCCACAAGAACTGTGTACCAGGAAGGACGGAAGGAAGGAAGGAAGGGAACAAAAGCCAGAGCATGACACACAGCTCTGGACCTAGGAGAGCTGGACTTCAGACGCACGCTCTGCCATGGAGCAGTTGTTCTTTCACTAACCCTCAGCTGGATTATTCCTAACATGAAAACTGTGGGTGGATATCGGGGCCCAGAGGGTTCAGCAGCAGCTCGGATGCCTTCACCCCATGTTGGAGTGCACATTGGAGCTGCAGCTACTCTAATCCAGCTCCTCACTAACATGTCCAGGGAGCAGCAGGTGAGGGCCAAGGACTTGGTTCCTGACCACACACTTAGACAACAATCATGTTCCTGGGTCCTGGCTTCAGTCTGTCCCAGCACTAGCTATTGCAAACACTTGGGGAGTAACCAGAAAGGACAAGTTTTCCCTCTCTCTGCCTCACCCTATCACTTTGCCCTTCAAACAAATAAATAAATCCTTTTTTTAAAAAAAGATGAATATTATATTGAGTTAAATTATATAAAATTACTAATATATTGGCCTTTTTTCTTTTTGGTCTACAACCTACCTTCCATGAATGTTAGAAAGACAAAATAAAATAATATCCAGATCTAATAGACACAAGCCCAAAGCTAACAAACGTAAGCCCAGTAAACAGTTTGTTATATTTCTCTTGCCTGTCAACATTCACTTCCTTAAACCTATTTCTCCCTTTTCTAAAAATTCCCTCTTATCACCATCAAAGTGGCAGAGGGGGCTAGTGTTGTGGCATGGTGGGTTATGCCATGGGTGCTCATTTAAGTCCTGGCTGCTCCACTTCCAATCAAGTTTCCTGCTAATGTGCCTGGAAAAGCAATGAAGATGGCTTAACTAGTTGGGCTTCTACACCCCTGTGGAAGACCTGGATAAAATTCCTTGGCTCCTGGTTTCAGGCTGACCCAGACCCGGCTGCTGCAGCCATGTGGGGAGTGAACCAGCAAATTGAAGCATTCTCTCTCTGTGTGATTCTGCTTTTCAAATAAATAAATCTTTTTGAAGTGATGGAGAATTGAAAAAAGCAATTCAAACTAAAGTTACTACAAGGATTACACATAATTATTAATGATTGATGGGAAGTTGCATATATCCCATTTTATGATTCTCATAAAAGCTGAACAATCTGTTTAAAAAATATGCTCACACATGGCATATAACAGCATCCTTATTCTTTCTTTAGCTGACTTTTCCAGTCCTAGCATAGTTGACGTTGGAGATCCAGTCCCTGACATCAAAAGGTTAAGATGCTCGGCCTCTGGAGGCTTTCCAGAGCCTCACCTCTCCTGGTGGGAAGATGGAGAATTAAGCGCTGTCAACACCACTGTTTCCCAAGATTTGGACACTGCTCTCTACTCGATTAGCAGTGAACTGGAATTCAATGTAACGAAAAACCACAGCATCATGTGTCTCATCAAGTACGGAGACTCCAGGGTGTCCCAGACCTTCACATGGCACAAACGTAAGCAGCCTCAACCTGGGGAGGTTCTGTTGCATTCAATTTGAGAAGAAAATAACCCAGCCAGCTCTAATTTAAGAATCAGGCATCTTGACTTTGATAGTATTTTAGATATGCAAATGAAGCTGGATATTGTGACTTATAAAGGAATGATAATATTACTAGACTAATTTTATTTTCTTTTAGGGAAGATCCTAACATTCAGAATCCTATAACTGCTAACTCTCAGGTAACCACAGTGGGAAGTTACAGTGGAATTGTCTACAATGTGTCCTGCTTTATATTTGCCCTCGGGACTCTTGCACTTTCACTTAGGGGAACCGACTGCCACCTTCCAAAGTGTCCAATCATTGCCTTTTGTAGGTAGGCACGGCTCATTTAAAAAATACCAGCTCATTCAGAGCCAAGCCTGGTAAGGAAGGTGAACACAAGCTCCTTGAGGACCAGGCCTGAAAAAGAGGTCATTTTTGAGCAAATACTTTATGTTACAGGGAGCAAAGTTGCAGAATTGCCTTTTCTCTAAAGGGGAGATCATCTGAAAAACATGAGAACAGTGGGTTTCTATAAGCAAATACACAACAAACTCATGTATTATTGCAAAAGAACTCAGATGCTTGAAACAGATGTCTAATATGTATGGCCAATTATACAAAACCCTTGGCCCTACTCCCAAGACAGGCTTTGTGACTGCTTAGGAAGAAACATCCGCCTGCATCTGCTAGCCCGGGGCCTTAAGGAGATAGGTTAATTCTAATGTATGATTTACTTCCAGTCTTTCAGTCTGAAGGAGGTTTCTTTTACAATTTCCCTCAAAAGGTGATGAGATAAAATGAGAAAATGAGTTCAAATGTAAACCAAATTTTGACATGAGTTAGTAGCTACTTCAAACTCATCTCTCTCAATCATCTTTTATGCATTCTAAAATATATAGGAAAATGGGGTTTCTGTCATGTAGTAAAGACGATTTATTAATGCAGAGTTTATTTCTGCTTTATAGATATATCTTTAGTAAATCAATTTTAGCTTATTCTGACTAAAAGTAGCATGTAATAAGAGAGAAATCAGCAATCCTTGCTTGATCGTATTTTACTTTAGACCTTCTTGATAATTGGAATATGAATAAATGGGACTCTAGGAGAAGAGCTGGTAAAATTTTTCTGAAAAAAGTCAGATAGTAAATATTTTAGACTTTGCAGTCAGTTTCTGCTGCAACAAAGGAGGCATAGACAAGACATAAGAAGGACATGGATGTGTTCCAACCTGGGGTACTTACCAAAACCAGTGGTAAGCTAGTGTGTGCTGTTTGGCAATATATAGGTTTTTTGTGGTCGGAGAACTGTAGAATACAAATAATCAGATCTCATTCAATGGATGACAGACCCCATTTAGAGTACGAGTCATACGCCCATAGAGCACCAGTGTGGTCAAGGCCTGCATGCACAAACGCACACACGTGGGGTGTGTAACCGTAGCTGCAAACGTTACAAGGCTGTGAGTAAAGCTGTTTTATGTAAATATACAACCTGGAAAAAAAAAAGCAAGAAACACCCAATTTAGTTACAGAGATTGGATGTGTGATTCTTTTAGTGTGGGCCTGATCAAAGTGTGATAAAGTGAAAGGAAATAGACCAGAGAGTGCCCCTCATGATGTCTGAGGAACTGTGTGCAGGTGTCCTCACACTCTTTGCATCTTGGATTTGGTGGTGTGATACCCCACTTCCAATAGGCATCAGGACAGGGCTGATTTGCTGCTACTGGATCTGCCTCCTTTCCCTCACACGCACTCATCCCCTCCCTAGGCTGAATGAAGCTTATGAATGGGTGTGGGGTAGCCTCACAAAGCAAGGTAGGTGTGAGTCAGAGCTGGTGATCCTTCTAGACTAAAGGACCACAGGAAGGGCATCTGTGTTATCTGTTGTTCTGATGTGTCAAAGCCAGCCGTGTAATCACTTGCCTCCATTCAATCTGATGCTTCAGAATTTAAAAAGAAGGAAAAAAAACCCACAACACTTTTCTTCCTCTTTAAGCGGTGGACGCACTATAATGCAGATGGCATTTAGAATGTGGTAGCAGTATCAGATCCTATCACATCTGAGCTGAAGAGGCTGGTTTGAGGGTTAGAGATGGGAAATCTGAAAAGTCTGAATGCAGATAGTTGTTGCAAGATATTTGGAAAAGAGGCATCAATTATGGAGATTTTTCGGAATATAGAATAGAAACATGAAATGTACTGATCACAAACCTCACTGTTATTCGGATAATAGTTGACGTCACTAGTTACTGGAATGGAGGAATGCAGGTGGCAGGAATGTTTTGGAAAACATCGTTTCATGTTAATCAAGTAGAGGTGCTGGTATCCAGCCGTCTGGGTTGGCCATTGGAGTTACAAATCAGGAGCTCAGAAATAGGATGTCCAAGTGTAGAAATCATGGCAATTCAGGCCTTGGATGTGGGAGGAGTGGAGTCACCGAGAGAAGAATGGGGCCCCCAGACAGAACCATGGGGACAGTTAAAGGACAAGAAGAACCTACTGAGACAGCAAGCCCAAACGAAACAAACAAAAACATTTTTGAGTGCAACAAGCAGCATGGAAGGTTGTGGTGTCACAGAAGTCACAGGAGGGGCAGGTTTCAACTGAGACACAGGCTGGTAAATGTCCATGCTTATCCGTAAGCCACTGCAGAGAATCAGAGGAGGAGGAGCTGCTGGCGGTCCATTCGATTCCTGTCCCTTCCCTTTCCCCAGATGTTGTTGCTTAGTTTATCTGCTGCTCCTGATAAGGAGCAATGGTGGAAGTACCACATAAGCTAACATCTTCCTCCCAACCAGGTCCTTTGCTGCATTCCCCCTGCCCCCCGGCCGACACACACACTTTTTGTGTGTGGAACTGGAACTGTGGCTCAGAGCTGATCTGCTGAGCTCTCTTCCAAGATGCTGCTACTCAATGTGAGCCACATCCACTCTTCTCACAGGGCCTTTTTTAAAAAATCCCTCCAGAAACTGTAAGACTGTGGTGGTCTTAGAAGTATATCTGAAAATGATTGAAAGATGGCCCTTCTACCTTTTGGCAGCTACTATGGAGAGAGAGAGAGAGAGAGAGAGAGAGAGAGAGAGAGAGAAAGAAAGAGAGAACATGCCAAGAGAAAGGTAGAAAGCATGACAGCTAGACAATGGAAAATAAGGCACATCTAAGCCATGCCATCAAACAATCACTCGTAGTAATTCATAGTAACATCTGCTAGGAGATATGAAGACAAGATCAGTTTTTAAATATCTCCTTAGAATATCTTTTTTTAAAGATTTATTTATTTTTATTGGAGAGGCAGATATACAGAGAAGGAGAGACAGAAGATCTTCCTTCTGCTGATTCACTCCCCAAATGGCTGCAATGGCTGGAGCTGAGCCAATCTGAAGCCAGGAGCCTCTTCCACGTCTCCTACGTGGTGCAGGGTCCCAAGGCTTTGGGCCGTCCTCAACTGCTTTCCCAGGCCACAAGCAGGGGACTAAATGGGAATTGGAACAGCCAGGATAGGAACCAGCGCCCATATGGGATCCTGGCGCGTTCAAGGCAAGGACTTTAGCCACTAGGCTATCACGCTGGGCCCTAGAATGTCTTTCTTATGCTATCCTAACTCAGTAAATGCACAAGTTTGAATTGTCTTTCTCATATTCAATATGTGACAGCTGACTATAAATTAACCAGAAGGATGTGTCTGACTAAGGAATTATGGAAGAAAAGTGCTAGCAGCTGTGTATGGAGGAGCTGACTGGGCAGAGAATTGCATTTGCAAGAGGCAGAGTGGCAATCAAGCAGCTGACTTCTTTCTTTGCCCTCCACAGCGAAGCCACAGCCGCCCGTTCATGAGTATCCACTGTGGACCATTATCCTGGGAAGCATGGTTTTCATTGCTGCAGTAATCATCTTCCTGATCTACAGTAAGTGTACATGTGAACATCTCCTCCCTTCCTAGAAGGCCGAACCCTATCAGTGTGCGCCAGCACCTCTGCGATTTAAGCCTTTTCTCGGATTTGTAGCAACACTAAGGAAACCTTAGTGTCTTCATGACTTGTGCAGCAAGTGCAGTTCCTTTGCTAGACAAACATTTCTTAGGTATCTACTGTGTGCCTGGTTCCCTGTTGGGCACTGGTGTTACAAAGACAAGAAGTCAATATTCTCAGGACACCTTCTCATTTAGCTCTTCATTTTCCCTTTATATTTGCTTGGGAACACTGAGGCAAAGAACAACTCATTCTAGGGTGGGACGGGGGTTCTGATGGGCTCAGGAATGTTTCTAGTACAGACTACCAGCCTTACTGCTCCAGTTCATGGTTTCCTATCTCCAGCACTGTTCCTATTGACATTTGGGGCCAGCTAAGTTTTTGCTTCGCAGTGCTGTCCTGTGTATTTTAGGAAATTAAAAATTTCCCTGGAGTGTACCGTCACTAGCACCCTTGACCCCAATAGTGATCACCAAAAATGTCTCCAAACATTGTCAAATAGTGTGTGTGTGTGTGTGTGTGTGTGTGTGTGTGTGTGTGTGTTAGGGGTGGGGGCAGAGGTTTGGACACTCATTGGGTTAAGAAACACTGCTCTGGATTTAAGCCAGTCTGAAGGATTGTTGAAACACACAGGCACAATTTGACAGGAACTCATCAATCACTCTTTTTGTCTGTGCTTGTCTCCAAGGACTAGTTCCAAGGCGGGAAAGAACAAGAAAGAATGAGGAAACCGGGGAAACACAAAGGCTGTCCCCCATCTACATAGGAGCTGCACAAGCCTCAGGCTGAGCCAAAGAGCTGAAGGTAACCCTTTGAGCTCCCCTTTACAAATGCAGGTTACACGGGATGCTGTGAACATGATGCTGAGCCTTTCTTCTCAGTACCAAACTCAGTCTTCCCTACTACCCCACCTTCTCAACCTCCGGCACTCCTCTCCTTTCTCCCCCACATAACTTGCTTACACAGCCTTAGCTTTGGCTGTGTCATTCTGCCTTCTACAATGTTCCCCTCACATCAGCCAGCTCAACGCCTTCCCTTATTTGTAAAGCACTGCTTTGCACTGAGGTAGTATCCTGCCAGCTCCTTCTCATCCCTGTGTCTCTCTCGGGCCTAATGGATACAGATTGGGGGCAGTTTGTATTAACACAGTAACATTCTCATTGGTTTCTTGGCCTGTTAACTGACACTTATCCTAGAGAGGCAAAGTCATGAAGAGTGGCTCTGTCACATCATTTTCCCAAACACCTGGCAGAGACACCAGTGCCTATAGTAAAATCATAACTTTTCACTGATATCTGCCGGAGTCCAGCTCCAGCTGAGTTCGGAGCTCGGGAAGGGTGCGTGGAGTCGGTGATAAAGAAAGACACAGACACTTGGTGCGTTCTCACAACAGCTCAAGAAAAAGCTGTCCTTTTTATTTACTCAAAACCCTTCTCAACCCTGGATCTGAGGGTCCAGGGTTCAAGTCCCTGTTCAGGCGCCCTTCTGCACAAGCAACTATTCTATTTTTTTTCTTTTCAAAATTAAGGGGGCATGTACAGACATTTGGTCACTCCGTCTGCACTTCAAGGCTAAACAGGTGCTTCTAAAGATAATTTTTGCAAAATACTGTATTCATATTCTTCAAAGCAAGCCATTATTTATTCTTCAACAGCAGCCATGGAGCAACAGCCAGGACTCCAAGGCCAAGGCACATGAGATTACCTGCTAATCAGTAGTACTTTCCCACCACATTTCTACTTCTACAATTTACCCATCATTTAATGGGAAAATAGGTTATAAGGGAAAAAAAAATCTAAAACAGAAACTTCAAATGTTAAATCGCTCTACAACTATAGACCCCTACAACCCAATAAACAATAAAGCAGTAATCAAAAGCATTTTTCTTTAATAAAACATCCTTAATTCCTCTAGCTAAAAATTATAAAAGCAGCTAAAACAATTACATTTCCTACACTCCTAAAAATTGCAAAGACAAGCTAGCCTTTGAGATAACAATAGCTATATTTATTGCCATAGCAGTTTCAGCTCTCACTCCCATCACTTCCATTACTTTGTAAAATTCTTATTAAGCCATTTCCCAGAAGACATGGTATATGTCTGGGCCCAATTTCAGGGCAATGGGTAGGTACACAATAAGGTGTCCAGAAATGGCATGGACTTAATTGTGCTCCTGTGTGTAAATTGTCAAAGGCCCACTCACCAAGACATTATCAGTGACATTAACTTTCAAGCTCACATCAGTGGCAAACAATGCCTCAATAGATTACAGAATTCTTAGTGGGGTGCTTGAGTGTCCATGCAGCCAGGGGGTGAAACAGCGTCAGGGTGGTCAGAGAGAAATCCGCTGGGCCCTGCCAAACAGCTGGAAGCTCCCCCGGGCCCTGCCAAGCAGGAGAGCTGTTCTCTTCACACCTTCGTGCCATCCACACCTACCACACGGACCCCAGCAGATATCCTTAGTCCAACATCCTCAGTTCTGTCCATTGTTCTTCAAGTGGCATTGTTTCTAGATGCCTCATTTGAACACAATAGAAGCCAGTGAAAGGAGTCCAAAGCTTTAGACTTAATTATTTCTGGCTCTGGATACAGCATGTACTTGTGCAGCACTCATGCTGTTAACTCAGATATCTGTTCTTCTCAAGTCCCCAAGCCTGCTCCCGGAAGTGAAGCATTGGAATGTTGCAATCTAAGGACTGAAGATAGTTACAGCCTCCAGGAATATTTTAACTTTGATTTACTATAAGATCAAGGTAACCCAGACATAAGAAATGAGAGTCTATAGACCTCTCTTTAAAAATAAATGGAGGAGGGCCCAGCACGGTGGCCTAGCAGCTAAAGTCCTCACCTTGAACATGCCAGGATCCCATGTGAGCGCCAGTTCTAATCCCGGCAGCCCTGCTTTCCATCCAGCTCCCTGTTTGTGGCCTGGGACTGCAGTTGAGGACAGCCCAAAGCCTTGGGACCCTGCACACACAAGGGAGACCCGGAAGAAGCTCCTGCCTCCTGGCTTTGGATCAGCTCAGCTCCAGGCATTGCAGTCACTTGGGGAGTGAATCATCAGATGGAAGATCTTCCTGTCTCTCCTCCTCTCTATATCTAGCTTTCCAATAAAAATAAATAAATCTTTTAAAAAAATAAATGGAGGGCCCGGCGCGGTGGCGCAAGTGGTTAAAGGTCCTCACCTTGCCGCCCGGGATCCCATATGGGCGCCGGTTCTAATCCCTCCAGCTCCCTGCCTGTGGCCTAGCTTTGGGACCCTAGGCTCCTGGCTTCGGATCGGCATAGTATCGGCCCGTTGCGCTCAAGTGAATCATAGAATATCTGCCTTTCCAATCAAAAAATAATAAAAATAAATCTTTATAAAAAATAAATGGAGACACCTGGTGCAATGGCTAAATTCTCACCTTGCAAGCACCATGATCTCATGTGGATATCGGCCCATGTTCCAACTGCTCCACTTCCCATTCAGCTCCTTGCTTATGGCCCAGGAGAGCAGGAGGATGGTCCCAACTTTGGGACCCTGCACCTAGGTGGGAGTCCCAAAGGATTCTGGCTCCTGATTAGCTCAGCTTCAGCTGTTGCAGCCATTTGTGGAATGAGCCAGTGGATGGAAGATCTGTCTTTCCTTCTCTCCATAAATCTCATCTACCTTTCCAGTAAAAATAATCTTTTGGGAAAAAAAAGAGGGGAATGGTGCTATGGTGTAGCAGGTAAAGCCGCTGCAGGTGCACTGGCTTGCATTCCGATTGTTCCACTTCCTTTGCAGCTTCCTGCAGTAGAAGATGCCTCAGTGTTTGGGCTCCTGCCACTCATGTCAGAAACCCAGCTGAGGCTCCTGGCTTAAGCCTGGCCCAGTCCCAGCTGTTGGGGCCACCTATGAAAGTCAATCTGTGAACAGAGGCTTGCTCTTTCAGTGTCTCTCTTTCAAATAAATCTTTTTTTTTTTTCTGAAAAAAAGGAAAAAGAAAAATAACACCTGAGTTTTATATAACAGCCTATTGTCTTGCAAAAGTAGTATTTCGTCTGAGTCATTAAAAATAATTCTTCTTGGGCCTGGCATGGTAGCTTAGTGACTAAAGTCCTTACATGCTCCAAGATCCCATATGGGCACTGGTTCTAGTCCCGGCAGCCCCACTTCCCATCCAGCTCCCTGCCTATGGCCTGGGAAAGCAATCGAGGACGGCCCAAAGCTTGGGGACGCTGTACCCATGTGGGAGACCCAGAAGAGGCTCCTGACTCCTAGTTTCAAATCGGCTTAGATTCTGTATATCTGCCTTTCCAAGAAAAAACAATAAATCTTTAGAAAGAAAAAAAAATTCTCTTATGAGCAAGTTCTATCTAAATTTAGTAGCTGGGAAATCTGGGGCTCCCAGTGTTTGAATGATGTGCCTGAAGTCGTATGTTTAAGCAGCAAAAACAACTCAAACTGAACATCAAGCTCAAGCTCTGTTCATCAGTGTGTGTTCTTAAGTCTTTCCCAGCGCAGCCCCAATTTCCTACCTTGTTTCATTTCAGTTTACTGTTCACTCCTCAAGCTGTTACAACAGCTGTTAAAATGTTTATCTTCAAGTTGTGCAATTATCTAGGATTTCCCCTCTAAAAGTCTCTGATCATCTACTCCAACTTCACAATGAAGCCATGAATATAGTATTCTATGCCAAGTCTCTTGTAGCCCTCTTGTGCAGTTCGAGCAGGTGCACCGCTGGACTTGTGTATGGCACGTCACATACACCCTGGGTTTTCCACAGGTCATGTACTGTATCATTTTCCAGACTGTAAACTTATTGAGGAGAGCAGTTTTCTTCTCTGTTGGCCACACACACAGAAGACTTCTAGGCATCAGGTGGTGTTCAATTATTTGCCTGATGCATACTTTATGTAGTAAAAAATCACCAGACCAGTTCTAAGTTTTTACCCAATACAGCTCCCCCTTCATATCCTTTAGTTATCAAGATAAATGCCTACTGAGTTACCCCACATTGGGAATATCTTTTGACCCTGAGATAAAGTTTAAAACTTTAAAAAGTTTTTATTCATTTGTTTCCTCAGGTCCCACCTCCATTTGCAACTGACCTCTTCCAAGGACTTCATCAGATGGCCAGGACTGCTGCCTTGCCCTTCATGGAGCTTTCCTTCAGAGACTCTGTAGAAAAGTGTCTAGAGGAATATTGTGAGCACAGAAGTAGCTCTGGCGACCCTGAACCTGAACACGGGACTAAGAAACAAAAGGATTCTTTAGACCCAGAAGGGGAAGTTAGAGGATACTTAGTCTCAGTAATGACAAGGATGCTGTGACTCAGGGAGGGGAATGGAACTCTCAAGGTCAGAGCTCCTTGTTCTGGTGCTCTTTCATCTGTTTGAGCTGAGGACAGAAAGAGTGCTTTGTACACATATATATATACATGTCAGTGAAGTGCATCTCCTAACAGAATCCATGCACAACCAGGCCTGATTTCCTGATGCAAAACCAGAGAAAGATTTAATGTTGGTTTTTTTCTTAACAGTTGAATGCAACCTTCAGGAAAACATTTTGATATCTATCTCTAAATGAGGACAGTGGAAGTACCACTGGCCTCATTGTGTTCTCTGTTGTTCTCCCACTTCCCATCCAAGTTCAGGCTCAAGTAGGACTCTCCATACAGGATTTTCTTGGACATATAAGATGAATATCCTCTCATACCTGAGTAACAGGATGGAGAGGAACAGTCTGAAAACGTACAATCTACTGGTTCATATTGGACTGATACTCTCTTTAAATGGCTTTATGCTAGTTTTGAGCTAACTTGTAAAATATTTATGAAAAAGTTCTCATTCAAAATGAGGTGTGTTTTTTTTTAACTGCATATGTACTAAGCAGTAAGCTACCTTCAGAGAAAATGACAGAAGGGATAAAAATGTACTGAGTGCTCCCTCAGATCCTGCAAGTTGCTTTTCCTCCTTCCTAGTTCTGGATGCTTGACGTCAACAGAGACAAAGGAGTGGTCATCTGCGGTGACCACTTGTTACTCCTGACTCCTCTTTCTCTGAAAATGCCTTTCATGACCCAACATACCACCCATGGACCCAACTCAAATTGGGGAAATCACATGTTATCTGAAAATGTAGAACCGGATAGCAAGAGATGATGGAGTTTCACAACTGAGGCTGAGCTGAAACCGTTTAATTTTGGTAGCTAAAAACAGACCAGATGCTACTACATAACATCAGAAACACAGCAACACTTTTTCAACGGGTGCTCTCAAAACTAGATCTCTGAAGGAAATAAAGGGAGTAGACTGACAAGGACTTAGCAGTAAAGACACAAGAACAGAACATTTAGACGTAATGAGACCTCAGAAACATGAATTAGGATCAACTGAGGGAACTGTAATATCAAATAAATTATATTAAGTTATTACATTCAATAAAGGTGTTTTTCAATTACACCTTACCTTTATTACTAATATGTTTGTGACATGAATAAAATTATTTCTA